CGGCTGGAGTTCAACAACCAGGGTCGTGTGTAGAGAAAACTTGATTTTGATCCTATTCCTATGATCTATACAAAATTGTTCCCGGCTTTGTTACACAAGGGGCACATCCAGACCAAGACTCCACCAGAGGTACCTAAAAGTATTCCATATTGGTATAGAGCAGAAAAGTTTTATCCATATCACAAGGGTGCCCCAGGCCATGATATTGAGAATTGCTATGGGCTGAAGGCAGATGTTCAGAGGTTAGTTAAATGTGAAATCTTATCTTTTAAAGATTCTAATCCTAATGTGCAAGACAATCCCCTACCCCAACACGGGTCATCTACCGTAAACATGGTTCAGGGATGTCCTGGAAAGTATGTTGTGTTTGATTTGAAATATATTCGATGATCCTTAGTAAGAATGCATGTTGGTTTGACTAGAATGATTTTCTTCAATCATGAGCGTCATGACTATGCTGCTATTCCGTTTGTTAAGTAAACTCTTGAGGTTATCGCTTTCTGAAGAAGATATTCAAGACCTGCTGGATAGAAGGGTTATTATAATCACGTATGATAGAGATCCAACTCTTATGGAAGAAGATGAAGAAGTATTCGTTATAGTGCCCCACTTCAAGGAAGTGGAACGTATTAAAATCATGTATGACAACATGAAGCCTTATATAACTCCTTTGATCATTAATGTGCCTGGACCAGTCCCCTATGATTCCAATAGGGCAGTTCCATACAAGTATAACACCACAATGTTGGAAAACGGAAATGAGGTGCCTCTACTTGTTCTACCATCGGTCGTTAATATTGTAGATGTTAGCAGAGTAACTAGAAGTGGTCGGGTCTATTCCTCAACACCTCTGAAAGACAAATAGATTTCAGCTGAACAACCAATTGTAAAGGATTTGACTTTCGAACAGTCTAGTGGGGCTGATTCTTTCAGACCTGGTGAATTTTTGAAGCTGATCAAAAGGAGTGAATACAAAATCGTGGATCAATTATTGCATACTCCTTCCAAGATCTATGTGCTATAGCTATTGATGAGTTCGGAAGCCCACAGAGAAGCATTGTAGAAGGTATTAGAACAAGCTTATGTCGAACATGATGTGACTATCGAGCAGTTTGACGACATTGTGGGTAATATCACCTCATGCAATAATCTTGGATTCTGTGAAGAAGATCTCCCGGAGGAAGGAAGAAAGCATAATATGGTGTTACATATCTCCATGAACTATATGAACGACGCGTTATCTGGTGTGCTGGTTGACATTGGATCCTCGCTAAATGTAATACCCAGAACTACTCTCGCAAGATTGTCATACCAGGGGCCACCTATGAGGCCAAGAAATGTCATCGTTAAAGCTTTTGATGGATCAAGGAAGACAATGATTCCTGAAGTTGATTTGTCGATGACCAAACGCGTACGCGTCACATAATTGTTGATTGTCTTCTTCTCTTCCATTTGCGTTAACTCGAATTGCCTCTTGTGAGTTTGTAACCTCACCACCTTAGCTTTAACAGCCCCTACATAAGCTTTCTTCAAGATCTCCCAAGCTTGCTTCGTTGACTCGCAATCACCATCTTTCTCAAAGTTGTCACCATCAAAACAAGAATGAATCAAGAAGAGTGTCTTGTAATCTTTCTTCTTTTCTTCCTTGAATGCAATTTGTAGCTTTAGCCCCAAGTGGTGTAACTCCATTATTGATGATCTCAAGAACTTCTTGGTACCCAAACAAAACATTCATTTTCTTTGACCACTTATCATAATTCTTTGAATCAAGAATCAGAAGGTTGGTGAGAATTCTATAGTTGGAAACTGTACTCATTGTTGCAGCGGAAATTGATCAGAATTAGATCTCTTGATGGCAAATGTTAGAACATACAAAATCTCTAATGGTGAATTAATGGGGAATTGAATTAATTTGGAGAAGATGAAGTTAAGAAATTGAGAGAGAAAAATAGAGAGAGTAGTTGAGAGTGAGAAGAATAATTGGCATTAACCACAAATGGGAGCTTACAAGGTCTTATATACTACAACTACAAAAATGATTGGAGATAACAAAACAGCTTAAAAAAATAAGCTAAAACTAACAGAAAATTGAAAAAACCAAAAAATGTCTTCGTAACCGGTTATGCAAAATGCCGTGACCGATTACGAGCCCGATACCAGCAATCCCTCAGCCTTTTTAAACTCTGTAACCGGTTACACAAAATCCCGTAATCTGTTACCACAACTGAAATATCAAAAAACTTGTTTTCAACAATACACACGCGCGCGCGCGCGCACACACACACACACACACACACACACACACACACACACACACACACACACACACACACACACACACACACACACACACACACACACACACACACACACACACACACACACACACACACACACACACACACACACACACACACACACACACATATATATATATATATATATATATATATATATATATATATATATATATATATATATATATATATATATATATATATATATATATATATATATATATATATATATATATATATATAATTTTATAATTTAACATTTCAATTTTATTTAGGTAAAACGACTCAAAGTAAAAATTAGATTTTGAGAACTTTGCTTGAGACACTTTTGAGTCTTTTCTTTTTCAAAGTTGCTAGTATATTTTTGAGATGAACCATGTTTATTGTCATCTTAGAAACAAATTTCTTATATTTAAAATTCAAACTTGCGATTCAAATCATGATTTTATATATCATAAATCATACTAAATGTCCAAATATTATAGACCTTGTGATGCCTGTGAAACTCAAAAGGACATCTATGTTTCCTTGTTTTGGTGTAATCACATATTAACTTTTAAATAGGTTCTATATATTGGTCACTTCTTTTGTATCTTGTCTTCTATCAAAACCAGAATCCAATCTCTTGATAACTATCCAAAAACCTAATTTTTCAGTTTCCAAACAAACTCCTTAAAGCATATATATTCACGAAACGTAAAATCCTCTTTGGTCGTAAACTCTTTTCCTACTTCAACGTGTACCACGCCTGGTTGAGAATCTTTTGGAACACCGTCCTATGATGCATTAACTTTGTTTACATTATTAAGGTGCATCATACTAACAACCAATGGAAAATAAAACAATTTCGAGCACCTATTCAAAGGATTTGGATTTCACTCTTTAAACAATATTCTTGATGAAAAAACCAAATTAATTAATTATCATCAATGATATACATCTACATTATTTGTAATTTCAAACGATTGTGATGTCGAAATACAATTGAATTGTGTTTGAAATAAAACAATAAATAAGAATGAAATAATTTTTTATAAGGTTTAAGAAAAAAATACATATAATCATGAACGAAGAAGGGTTTAAAAAATTTTTACGCAAGAAAGACATCTATCCAAATTTTATAATTTTTTTAGATAATCATGTTTTTTAAAAAAAAAAATCTAAAATAACTATGTTTAAAAAAAAAACTAAAATAACAATGTCTCAAACAAAAAAAAATGGTACACAAGAGGAATAAAAAGAGGTATGACGCATATACATGTATGCTTATAGTGATAGTCTAAAACATAGATAAAAGTCTATCAGTCGTAAGTATAGTCCAAAATACTTATACCTACGCCAACTTACCATAAGTATAACAAATTATAGGCAAGAAAAAGTAAACTTGCATCTAGTACAAATGCGGTAGGTATAAGTATTTCAGACAATACCTATGATAAATAGACTTTTACTTATGCATTTTGATTGTCACTATAAACATGCGTCATCATGTATATGACACTTTTGTAAAAAATAACAAATGCATGCACCATATCCTCTAATTACTTGTTTTATGTGCGATACTTTTTGTTTGAAATATAATTAAAAAAATATATAATTATTTAAAAAAAAATAAATCTGAATTTTACTTCCAAATTCTATTACTTTTTTGTGATGTCGAAATACAATTGTAATTTCAAACGATTGTGATGTCGAAATACAATTGAATTGTGTTTGAAATAAAACAATAAATAAGAATGAAATAATTTTTTATAAGGTTTAAGAAAAAAATACATATAATCATGAACGAAGAAGGGTTTAAAAAATTTTTACGCAAGAAAGACATCTATCCAAATTTTATAATTTTTTTAGATAATCATGTTTTTTAAAAAAAAAAATCTAAAATAACTATGTTTAAAAAAAAAACTAAAATAACAATGTCTCAAACAAAAAAAAATGGTTCACAAGAGGAATAAAAAGAGGTATGACGCATATACATGTATGCTTATAGTGATAGTCTAAAACATAGATAAAAGTCTATCAGTCGTAAGTATAGTCCAAAATACTTATACCTACGCCAACTTACCATAAGTATAACAAATTATAGGCAAGAAAAAGTAAACTTGCATCTAGTACAAATGCGGTAGGTATAAGTATTTCAGACAATACCTATGATAAATAGACTTTTACTTATGCATTTTGATTGTCACTATAAACATGCGTCATCATGTATATGACACTTTTGTAAAAAATAACAAATGCATGCACCATATCCTCTAATTACTTGTTTTATGTGCGATACTTTTTGTTTGAAATATAATTAAAAAAATATATAATTATTTAAAAAAAAATAAATCTGAATTTTACTTCCAAATTCTATTACTTTTTTGTTTAAATTGTACGATGTTAAGAGTGTATTTGGAGTGTTTATAATAAACACTTATAAAAAGTTAGTAAAAACTATTTATTTAAAATAAAATAATAATTTAATTATTTTTTTACGTGCTCTAACTAGTTTGTTTTCATTATAGTTACCACTGAAAACATGTAAAAATAAACTTAAAAAATATTTAAAGTGTCGTGAACCATTTTTTTATTTGACATGAAATTAATTTGGTCATTTTTTTCGGTTACTGAATAAAATATTAAACAAAAAAAAATTAGACAAGTGAGAGAGGATTTAGGGTCCGGTGCACATCTTCAGTATCGAATTCCAAAATAACAATGGCGGAAGTGGAGGCAAACGGCGACGGCGACGGCGAAGCCGGTGTTCCATCGCCGAAGTCGCAAACACAAGATTCCACTGAAAACAACGGAAACTCCTCAGAGCCAGTACTTTCGAAGAGCGCACTGAAGAAACAAGCGAGACAACAAAGATGGGAGGCAAAGAAGGTAGAGAAGAAAGCAGCGGCGAAGGAACAGAAGAAGAAGGAAACCGAACGGAAACGGATGGAGTGGGAAGAAAGCCTCGCCAGTATGCCGGAGGATGAAAGAACGAAATTCATCGAATCAAGGATTAGTATCCGTAAGGAGAGAGTGGAGCAGCAAGCATTGGAGAAAAACAGCAAGAAAGAGAGACTCAGTAAGGGTAAAGAACATGGACAAAACGTTGTAATTGATCTTCAGTTCTCGCATCTCATGACTCCATCAGAAATTCGCAGTCTCGTTCAACAGGTTAATTCACAATTTATGTAGTTTTTTTTGGTATTAGGGCTTATTTCGATTCACTAATTTAAATTTCTATGCTGATTGAAGCTGATTTAAACACTCAGAATGTTAGGAATTATGAAAAGAACTTAAGACATGTTCATGCTAAAGCTATAATAACTTACTTTCATAAGCTTTTTAAGATAACTTAGATGAAAACAATTTAACTCTATTTTATCTTTTGTTATTAATAATTTATCCAAGCGTATATTAAGATCATAATTGTCCGATGAGCGTAGAAATAAATGGTTGGTGATCCGATAGCGAAACCTTATACTCTCATAGGAGGTGACCTAACGAATCTTAAACCGGACTCTTAAACCAAGTTAAGAAATGTGGTTTGTCTTATCTGGTTTGTACGATGAAGATTGCCCTCATTTATAAGCACATCTTTATGCTATATATTGTCTGATGTGGAACTCTTAACAACAATCTTTGAATCAAATATGACCACATAAGCAGCTACTCTTCCTCTAGGATATGTTTGAGAGTTGGTTTGTTAAGGGTTTTGGAGGACCGCGTCTATATTTTAAAATGTGTTTGATATTTTTACAAAATTTTAAAAATAATATACATTAATGTATAAAATCATATTGTTTTTTTAAACTTTTTAAAAATATCAAACACTTCAAAATATAGATGCAACTCTCCAAAGCCTTTGCCTCCAAAACACTCAAAAAACCAACTCCCAAACACAGACCCCAAGAGTTTCAATGTTGCTTTGTTACTTGATGATAAATTAAACTGAAAGAGATAAGTGTTATTTCCCAAGAAGCATTAACACAAGTACTTGACAAGGCACTGACATGTAGACCCTAATAATAGTATAACAAATTGAAAGTGTTTGAAAATAAAATAAATACTTCTGTTGGTGTCGTGGCCCTCTTAGATACTGGATGTGTCTTTAATCGGAAATTTTGGTGTCATATAGCTTCTTCTGAACATAGCTTACATCTTCGAAACACAGTTGTATAAACTTATGTATTTTTGACTGTGAATTGGTAAGTGATAGAATGGAATAATGTATATGTAGATAATGTATTGCTATGCGGCGAATGGAAGGTGTGAGTCCCCCGCACATCTTTGGCTAACAAGCTGCGAAGGAGAAATGGATAATCAATTGAAAAAGATACCGGGATTTGATAAGTGGATAATTGAGAAGGAAAGTAAGCCTTATATTGAAGCATTGCAAGATCGTAAGGATGATTTGGTGTATCTGACGGCTGATTCAGAGACTGTTCTTGAAGAGCTTGATTTGAAGAAGATATATATAATTGGCGGGTTGGTGGATAGGAATAGGTGGAAAGGGATAACTATGGAGAAAGCACAAGAGCAAGGAATTCAAACGGCTAAACTCCCTATTTCTAATTTCTTGAAGATGTCTAGTTCTCAGGTATTGTTGATGTTTACACATTTAACCTTTTTGTTTTGTATTGGATTTTGTGTTCATTTTAATGTTTCGTTCTATGTTGTCAATAGCACGCTATAGCGGAATAGTATAGCGGTGGTAGGGTTTGGTGCGACGATTTTGTCCTGCGAGTTGCCGTCAATATTAGCGGTTGTAGCGGCTACTATTGCACCCGCTTCAAACCTTTTTTTTAAACCCTTTCCTTTTCTAAGAGTATAAATGTCAATTCGGACCCTTTTAAGAGTAATATTATGTTTTTCATTCTTTTATGTTCTTGCTTACAAACAATTGTTATGTTCTTCCTACTTTTGGTTCAGCTCAAATATGTTTTTCTTTTCTATTTAAGTTTTATTGCTCTATACTTTAGGTTCTTTAATTATTAAGTATGAAGGTCTGTTTAATTTTCTGTGTTATTTGAGTATTTATGTTTACAACAGCAGCTATTCTTCTATCCTCTATACTGCTGTAGCTTTTAAGGGGGCCAGGGCTATGCAATGCTATCTGAGATTAACAAAAGTTTGTACTATATAACAGTGGATTGTGAAATACTTGTACTTAGAATCGTTGAATTGTATAGATGTACTAGTAATATTAGTGCTTCCACTGCCACACGAAACACCGGTATGAAAAGAGAGAGAAGATTGAGAGAAAATATTGAGATGATAAGGAGAGAATAATAAAAAAAGAGAGAAAAAATGGAGGGGGCTGGAGTACTATAGAAGATCCGGATCCACCAGTAGGCTCTTTTACATTGCAGAGTCACAAATGATAAAGATAGCAGAGTGAATCGCCATTTAGTTTATTGGGGTCAGACAATTTGATGTGTGAAGCCTAGAAATTACTAAATGATCTATGAAGTTATAATTTGGCTTATTACATTAGTCTTGTCGAGTCAATCAATTTATTTGTGCAAAATGTGTCAAAAGGACCAATGTGATTGGGTATTTTAAATTTCATGCATCATTTTAGAATTTTGTTGATTTCAAATACCATATTGACTGGCCAATTCACTTGATAATACTCTCTGAAAGAAACCCAACGGTCTGCAATTTTATATAGATTATTTTGAAACTTCGTCCATATGAGCTTCTTTGTCTTGATATTTAAAATACCATATAGATTATTTTGGAACTTCGACCATATGTTCTTCTTTGTCTTGATAACACTCTAAAACATTTTATTTATCATATGAGCTTTCAGGTTCTTACTGTGAATCAAGTTGTAGAAATACTACTCAAGTTCATTGAGACAAGGGACTGGAAAACTTCTTTCTTTGCAGTTATCCCTCAGAGGAAAAGATCTCAAGCAGATTCAGAGGGAAATGCAGATAATAATGTAGCGGATGAAGAAGAGGAAGAAGAGTGTGAACAAAAAGGAAGAGTGTGAACAAAAAGATGATCCATTGACAAGTAAAAAACAATGTATTGAGGAGATCCCTTCTAACAAACTTGTTGATGGCCTGTAGAGTGTAGAACTGGAAAACCAACACATGATGAGACAAGTTTCAAATCAGTGCTGCAAATTTTCATACTGACAGAATTAGGGCAACATTCATGTAGTCAGATGTTTTTTTTACCATACTGTGACCTGATTTCTTATAATTGTATTACACTCTTGAAACGTTGTTCTTCGGCTTTTGGATAAATGATAATTCATAGTTCTGTTATTTGATGGATGGTTAATGAAAAATATCCCTTGGTGTGTGTAATGTGTTGGCAACAAGGTACCCATGGTATTCTACATTTGGCAACACATAAATGTTAGCCTTATCTTATGCACATGTTGTTGGCAAAGTTACCCGTTCATACTTAATGAGTGTAATTCAGATGGTTTAACTAGCGCTGAATTTAAGTTGCTTTAATAGTTGAGGGGAAATTATCGACTTAATATAGAAACTTCTTGAATACGGCTTATATAAAAGACAAATTTGACTTGACCGTTCCTATGATACAATTTAGTTCTATTATTGTAAATAGAGTCATAGAATTATATATATTTAGTTGCTCTATAATTGCTGAAACAAAAATTAATGGCTGAATTGTGTTAGCAAAGATTGAACGTGTTTATTGTCTTTTATTTTTGTTTTTATTTAATCTTTTATACTAGTTGTTGTTCTAACAATTGATATTAAATAACGTTTAATCATGACAAAGTTTGATAGAATGAATAATTTATGATTATGGCAAAGAAAAGTTAAAGATTTGTTGGCTCGACAAAATTTAAAGAAATGGTGTGAACGATATTAATTATGAACGATATTAATTTGGCAGAGATGAAGGAGAAGGTTGTGAGATTGATTCACTTATGTGTGTATCACACGAGATGACACATCATATTTAGGACCTAACGATGACGAAAGAGTTTTGAGATAAATTTAAGAGTAACAAATATGCTGATGAACAAATTGTTCACGAAGAGTGAATATATAATCTAAAGATGTATGAAGGTTTTGATTAGCAACGTATCAATATCTTCAAAAATATAATCATTTGATCTAATGAGACTTGAAGTGAAGATTAATAATGAAGATTAGACAATTATTGATACACTTTTATCTCATTCTCGATGAATGACAAAATGTAGAGAAAAGAACTTTGATCATCTATGTTTATATGTAAAAGAGGGTCAAAATCAAGATAAAACTAGTTTTGAAAATAAGAGGTCTAAATTCAAGAATTAGAAAACAACCTAGTGTTATAGTTGCTGAGAAAGACCGTCCAAATAGAAAAAAAGAGCTCATGGAATTTTTTAAATGTGGTTCAAGCCAATAATTCTAGTAGTGAATCAGGTTTATTGCGTGTTTATCAAGAGCACAAGTACGTGAATTCTTGAGTCATGCTGTTCTTCTCTTAACAGATGACTCCACACTAGACTAGGAATGGCTCACTACATTAGTAATTCCAAAATTTCAATGGACCATGGTGGTGTGTGGATATTGAAAGATGCCACATATATTCCAAAATTGAAGAAGAATTCAATTTCTCTAGGTACTCTACAAACAAATGGTTTCTCCTACCTGTCTAATGGATATAAAAACATTATGAAGATTAACCAGGGTGTCATGAATGGATTTAGGGTCCGGAGCACATCTTCAATATCGATTTCTAACACGACAATGACGGAAGTGGAGGCGAACGGCGACGGCGAAGCCGGTGTTCCACCGCCGAAGTTGGAAACACAAGATTCCACTGAAAACAACGGAAACTCCTCAGAGCCAGTACTGTCGAAGAGCGCACTGAAGAAACAAGCGAGGCAACAGAGATGGGAGGTAAAAATGGCAGCGAAGAAAGCAGCGGCCAAGGAACAGAAGAAGAAGGAAACCGAACGAAAACGGAAGGAGTGGGAAGAAAGCCTCGCCAGTATGCCGGAGGATGAAAGAACGAAATTCATCGAATCACGGATTAGTCTCCGTAAGGAGAGAATGGAACAGCAAACATTGGAGAAAAATAGCAAGAAAGAGAGACTCAATAAGAGTAAAGAACATGGACAAAACGTTGTAATTGATCTTCAGTTCTCGCATCTCATGACTCCTTCAGAAATTCGCAGTCTCGTTCAACAGGTTAATTCACAATTTCTGTAGTTTTTTTTGGTATTAGAATTTCTATACTGATTGAAACTGATTTAAACATTCAATTTGTGATAATGCAGAGAAATTGTCAAAAAGAACTTAAGACGTGTTACTAAGAACTTATTTTCATAAGCTTTTTAAGATAAATTTAGATGAAAACAATTTAACTCTATTTTATGTTTCAATTGAACTAATTTATGTAATAACTTAATTAAATTCACTTATGGTCATAATTGTCTGTTGAGCGTGAAAATATATGGTTGGTGGCCTAATTGCGGAAACTTCATAGCCGGGTCCTGATATCATGTTAAGAAATGTGGTTGAGTTTAACTCATTCCTACAAATCTTCTTGTAGGATGAAGATTTCCATAACTTACAAGCACATCTTCAAGCTTTATATTGTCCTGTGAGACTCTTAGCAACAATTTTCAAATCCAATATGACCGCAGCTAACTATTCCTCAAGAGTTTCAATGTTGCTTTATTACTTGGTGATAAATTAAACTGAAAGAGACAAGTGTTAATTCCCGAGAAGCATTAAAAAGTACTTAACAAGACACTAACATGTAATAGTGTAACAAAATGAAAGTGATTGAAAATAAAATAAATACTTTTGTTAGTGTTGTGGCCCTCTTAGATACCAGATGAGCCTTTAATCAGAAATTTTGGTATGATATAGCTTCTTCAGAACATAGCTTACTTCTTCTAAACACAGTTGTATAAACTTAAGTATTTTTTACTGTGTATTGGTAAATGATGGAATGGAATAATGTATGTGTAGATAATGTTTTGCTATGCGGTGAATGGAAGGTATGAGTCCCCTGCACATCTTTGGCTAACAGGCTGCGAAGGAGAGATGGATGATCAATTGAAAAAGATACAGGGATTTGATAAGTGGATAATTGAGAAGGAAAATAAGCCTTATATTGAAGCATTGCAAGATCGTAAGGATGATTTGGTGTATCTAACGGCTGATTCAGAGACTGTTCTTGAAGAGCTTGATTTGAAAAAGATATATATAATTGGCGGGTTAGTGGATAGGAATAGGTGGAAAGGGATAACTATGGAGAAAGCACAAGAGCAAGGAATTCAAACGGCTAAACTTCCTATTGCTAATTTCATGAAGATGTCTAGTTCTCAGGTATTGTTCATGTTTACACATTTAACCTTTTTGTTTTGTATTGGATTTTGTGTTCATTTTAACTTTTGGTTCTATGTTATCAATAGTGCGCTAAAACGAAATAGCATAGCGGTGGTAGGGTTTAGTGCGGCGCTTTTGGCTGCGAGCCGTCATCAACATTAGCTGTTGTAGCAGGTGCAATGCGGATGCTATTGCACCCGCTTCAAAGCTTTTTATTAAACCCCTGTCTTTTCTAAGAGTTTCAATGTCAATTTGGTTATGTTCTTGCTTACAAACAATTGTTATGTTCTTCCTACTTTTGGTTCAGCTCAAATATATATTTTTTTTCTTTTTCAGTTTAAGCTTTATTGCTCTGTACTTTAGGTTCTTTAAGTATTGAGTATGAAGGTCTCTTAATTTTGTGTATTTTTTTATTTTTGAGTATTTATGTTTACTTTGTTTGCACTGTTTTTTCGTCTTTATAGTAGCGGCTATTCCACTATCTCTATACTGTTATAGCATTTTAGAGGGTCGGGGCTAATGAACACCATCTGAGATTAACAACATAGCTTTGACTACTAAAAATTTGTACTTTGTATCGGTGGATTGTTAAATAGATGTACTTTATATTGATATATTGTATAGATGTACTAGTAAAATAATTACTTCCATTGCCGCATGGGATGAAAAGAGAGAAAAGATTGAGAGAAAATATGGAGATGATAAAGAGAGAATAATCAAAAGAGAGAGAGAAAAAATGGAGGGGGCTGGGGAGTTATCGTTGCAGTGTCACAGATGGTAATGATAGCAGAATGAATCGCCATTTAGTGCTGAGTTTATTGGGGTCAGACAAATTGATGTATGAAACCTAGAAATTACAAAATGATCTATGAAATTATGGTTTATCAGATTAGGTCTTTTTGAGTCAATCGATTTAGTTGCACAAAATGTGTCAAAAGACCAATGGGATTGTGTATTTAAAATTTCATGCATCATTTTATAATTTTGTTTATTTCAAATACCATATTGACTGACCAATTCACTTGATAACACTCTCTGAAAGGAACCAACGGTCTGCAATTTTATATAGATTATTTTGAAATTTCGTCCATTTTAAATTTCAAGTCGCTCGACCCATGTGTAGGAATAAGTTGTTGATTTACTTGACAACCCTGTTGAAAATGGGAATTCCATTTGTGTCTAAAACATTTTATTTATCATATGAGCTTTCAGGTTCTTACTGTGAATCAAGTTGTAGAAATACTACTCAAGTTCATTGAGACAAGAGACTGGAAAACTTCTTTCTTTGCGGTTATCCCTCAGAGGAAAAGATCTCAAGCTGATCCAGAAGGAAATGCAGGTAATACTGTAGTGGAAGAAGAAGAAGAGGAAGAAGAGCGTGAACTAAAAGATGATCCATTGACTAGTAAAAAGCATTGTGTTGAGGAGATCCCTTCTAACAAACTTGTTGATCGCCTGTAGAGTGTCGAACTGGAAAACCAACGCATGATGAGACAAGTTTCAAAACAGTGCTGCACTCAAAATTTTCATACTGACAGAAATAGCAGAACATTTATGTAGTTTTGTGTTTTTTTACCAAACTGTGACCTGATTTTCTTATGATGGTATTACATTCTTGGAACGTTGTTCTTCGGCTTTTGTAATTCGTAGTTTTGTTATTTGATGATGGCGAATGAAAAATATCCCTTGGTGTGCGACGGCAAACAAGGTATCTGTATGGTATTCAACATTTGGCAACACATAAATGTTAGCCTTATAGTAATATGTTAACCGTTCATACTTAATGAGTGTAGTTCAGATTGTTTAACTAGCGCCGAACTTTAAGTTATGACTTGAATATAGGGTTGACAATGAACTGAACCAACTCGAAAATAGTTTGGAATTTGATTCGACAATTAAATCGTTGAACTAGGTTCATGAACCAAATGAGTTGAGTATGAGCGAAAAATTAAGTTCGTTAACTAAATGAGCTGAACTTGAATTATACATAGTTCGACTCGTTAGGTTCATGAGTCAACTCGATTACATATGAGAAGAATTATATTCTCTTTAAGATTATGTTTAAATATTTACTCCAAATCTTAGACAAATTTAATCTTCAATTTAGTAGTTTTTGAATTAGACTCTCAAATGTATCTCTTGAAAGTTGTGTAGGTTTTGAATTAGTAGATTTCGAAGATAAAGTTTAATTTCAATATGATAACTTTAATTTTATTTTAATATTTTATTTTAATATTTTATTTTAAAAAAATATATTTATTTAAAATGTCAAATATACTAAAAAATATATAAATTTTAAAAAATAGTTTTTAAGTCCGTGAATCATGTGAGCTGAACCTAATGAGATGAATCTAACGAGTTGAACCGAACTGTTCGTGAACTTATAACGAGTCGAGTTTGAGCTTAAAAAAAAGTTCGTGTTAAACTCGAGCTCAAACTCGAACTCGAACAATTTTTAACGAGTCGAGCCGAGTTGAGGTGAGTTCGACTCGACTCGACTCATTTCAAGCCCTACTTGAATAGTTGAGCGAAAATTAGTTCATGATCGATTTAAAATAGAAACTTGTTGAGCATGACTCATATAGACAAAGAGGAACAAAATAAATAAGAATATAAAAATTTAAGAGGGAAACTTTAAATTTGACTTAACCATATTATTGTTTATTGTATTATTGTAAATATAGTTGTAGTATTATCTAATTTATTTGTATTATTGTAAATAGATTGTAGTATTATCCGTGTATTGTTATATACTGTTGTGTTGTATATTATTTGTAATATTATAACTCCTAATTTATTATAGGAATAAAAAAGAAACTATAGCTTCTCTATAGTCGTAGAGGTAGAAATCATTAGCTGAATTACGTTAACAAAGATTGACGGTATTTATTGTCTTTTACTTTTTTTCTTTTCTATTTAATCTTCTATATTGATTGTTGTTCTAACTAGTGTTTTAAAAACTGAACCGTCCAATCGAATTGGGAATTGGATGGGTCACAGTCTGGTTTGATTGTTAGATCCGATAAGCTATTGAACTAGTGGAAATCTGCCAGAATCGATGAACCAACGATTTTGCTCAAAACTTATTTGGAACAACTTTTCTTTATTGGAATTAAATTTATTAGACATTACAATTATTTTGTTGTTCAGTCTATGATGTAATTAGATCTTCTTTAAAATTTATTTGGATTTGTATTTTGTACTATTTTGTTGTGTGTAATAACTATGTTCAGAATTTGAATTTAAAGAATGAACTTGTGAAATTATGAAAATTTGAAGTTTTACAGGTGTCATGATTTTTTTATAGACTGAGGCATCTGTTTCAACAGGTTTAATAATTATATAGTTTTCTTACAGAGAACTGTTTATTCAACTGGGTTATCTAATTTAATCTGGGTTAGTCATGCGGTTTGAACAATGACCCAATGGTTCAACCAATGAACCACTAACCTCATCAGTTTGCTTAGCGAACTCTTCTTCGCCCTGCGAGCTACTTCGTTACAAGTTCGCACAACGAACTTATGGCCTTTTACTTACTGCCATCCAAGATTTTCTCCTCGCTGGGACCTCGCTAAAACCTTGCACAACGAACACTCGCTACAAGTTCGCCCAACGAACTTACAGTCTTTTTTTTATGCCTCTAATCTAAGAGGGTTCGCTGGGACTTCATTGGGACTTCGCTGCTACTTCATCCAATGAATATTCGCTTGCTGCTCGCTGTTGTTCGCTCAGCGAACATGCTGAATCTTCACATTTTCTTTGGCTTCATTGTTAGTTTACTTGTGTCTTACTTCTTTGATAGACTATGCCTAAATCTTGCACAATAACACACAAATCAAAACAACCAAAGGTATTTGCAACATACTTGAAGAATAACATTGAAACATGGAATAAATCCAACAAAACATAACAAATGAGATAAAAAATACCAATTATAATGGATCAATTTAAAGCATATTTGACATTCAACAAACTCTCCCCAACTAGATATTTGCTTGTCCTCAAGCCAAGTATATCTCTCATTGAAAACAAGAGGATTTGCTCAAGCAATTAATTTCACCAAGAATGGATTTATGGCTCAAATTAAACAACTAATGCGCACAGACAATGTTCACCACTTCCTAGAATCGAACAATGCAAAAGAATTCAGTTCTTAAACAACTATCATGCAATGCTTCAAATAACAACTAAATTTTCATGCCTGAATCACTCTAACACTCCTCTTCAAATAAGAATGAAGAAATTAACGCGTTTGCAATCACGGGAAAATTTCACTCACTTGACAAGCAACGAAAATGACAATCCAATTCATACATTCATCAAATCAATCAACAATGAAATCATGGAAGTAAGAAGATCACTAAGGTCTTTAAAGGTTGTAGCTTGGTTAGGTTCACAACAAAGGGACATATCTAAGGTCATGAAATCAAAGTTGCCAATGCAAAAGAAACATTCACTATACAAGGTTATATACACACTATAACTTCATCCAACACTTTCTTTTCTCAATTCTTCACCCTTCCAAACTTCCTTTATGTACATTATTCATTCTCTATTTTTTTTCTTTCAAACAAGTATGTTTTTTCTTTTTCTTTTTCACATTGATATTCACAATTTTCTTTTCCAATGCTTGTTTGAAAATTTTCAAAATTTTGAGCAACCTACCACTTTTCTTTTTAATCTCCCCAACTTGGTTTCAACCAAACCTCAAGTGAATGTTCCTTGATTTTTATGGAAAGCAAGAAAATTTAAGTAAATTTCAAAGGTTCAAGAAGTTTTTTTTAGAATCCCACAAAATTCAGTGATGAACTATCTTTCAAATTATGTACAAGTACCAAGTTCATCACTAAACTATTAAGCTCAAAGGGGTTAGCAAATTCTCACTACTCACGGGTAAATTACTTTTTTCGGATACGGTTATGCTCAATATCAACAAGTGCCTTGACCATATCTAATGCTTCCACAAAATCAAAATAATTACAAGATTAAGCATAAATCAAATTTATTAAATAAAGCTTATTAGTCATCCTATGCATATAGTAAACAATTGAGGTCACTCATAATTTGTGGATTTTGAAACCTAAGTGAAACAAGTATTCAAACATAGTTGCAAAATGAAACAAGGATACCATTGCACAAAGAAAAAAAATTCTTAAACATTCTAGCATCCTAGAAAGAGGTAACCATGTACCTTACTTGCATTCATGGTATTCAAATACTATCATCATCATCCAAACTTGGGAGAATCTTCATTAAATACTTTTATCAAATAGCAACCAATCTAGAAGTTCTCAAATTCAATCGCCAAAGCATTAAAGTAAAACAAGCTATCAACAACCATAAACTAACTAGAGACTACTATAACACTGCCCCCTTCTTTTCAAAAAGGCATGCCCTCAAGTCAACTATAGAAAAGACAATATACAAGAAGAAAATAAAACAACATAAAAGTATTGTAGGATAAAATCACCAATTAGTCCAGAATCTGCTATGTTCGCCTAGCGAACAATGCTTTGCCCATCGAATTTATACGCCCCGGGTTCGCACAACGATTTAAGGGAGAACATGATAGTAATTCGAAAAATTACGGTTTCTTCAATTTTTGGTTTATCAAAACACTCTTTCATAATACCAATAACTAACCAATGCAGTAAAAAAATAGTAGTACTCATAATGTTGGGGTGCCTCTCAACAAGCGTTTTGTTTAACAACGTTTGAGCTCGACGGTCCGACGGTTGAAACCTCGGAACTAATAGCAATTGAATTTGCTTTCGAATGAAACACCCTACCACAAAAGTCCTCAACCATTGTCATGACCAGTTCTTTATCCACTTTTCATCAAGAATGAAAAATCCCAACATGACTTCATCATAGCCCCCTTGGCCTCTTCATCCTTCTTTTTAAACACCGCCTCAATCTTTGCACTTTCCTTTTTTTTTTCTTTCTTTGATGCAACTCTTACGTAATCGTCTTTCTTTTTCTTCACCCTAACTCTTGCATCTTCCTTTCTCACTTGAAAATTATCCTCCACTTGATTTGAATACACCACACCTTGAAAAGTGTAAAACACACTTCTTCATCATTTGTCCTCACCTTCATTATGCATTTATCAACATCAATTAACATCCTAGCGGTCTACATGAAGGGTCTTTCAAGGATTATTGGTGTATCCTCATCTTCTTCCATATCCATGACTATGAAATCAAACCGGAAATAAAAATTTGTCGAGTTTCAATAACACGTCTTCAACAACACCATGAGAATGAGTCCTAGACTGTCCACAAGTTGTAAAGTCATGTTGGTTGACTTCATCTCCATGTTCTCAAGTCTTTTCACCACGGACAAGGGAATTAAGTTAATACTAGCATCCATATTGACCAAAGCCTTACACTTGAAATCACTATCTATAGTTATAGGTAGAGCTACTCTTCCCGGATCTCCTTCCTTCTGTAGAAGAATGC